AAATAGACAGGAAAAGAAGCAACTGTAAATATATTTCCTACTTCCAAGTTTAGTATGGAACAGCCTTCTTGTCTAAAAAACAGATTCGCTTTCTTTACTCACTTTGTGAGTAGAAAGGAAGGAATGGTGTGGGAACTACTACACTGATTTTCAGGACCTGGACATGTAAACATCCCAATCTCACTCTGAGAAGCAAGAAATACTGCATATATAAATACTAAGCTGTTCTTGCACTGTATAGTAATGGTGTGAAAGAGCAGTTCCCAGATAAACCAGTGGAAATATGAGTAGATAAGCATCACACGAGTGACTAGCACTGAAACCTAAAGCCAAGATTCACAGGTTTTATTGTCAACTTCTGCCATGAGTTTGATACCTCTCAACAGACAGTGTATTTTTCATGGAAGATTTTGAAAAATTCAAGGAAAACTGCTGCAGATGCTATAATTAGCATTGCTAAGATTTCCAACCAATCCATAATCTATTCTTTCTGCTTTTTTCATCTGTGGAATATACAAAGTATACAAGGGTATGTTTCCTTACTGCCTAAATTATAAAGATAAAAAACCCCTAGCTTTTGCAAAGAACTATCCCAACAACTTTTTTTTTTTAAAAATCCAAGTTTCCAGTTAACTTATTTCTATAATATTGAAGTGAAATTTTTTTTAAAATATTCAGCTTAACAATAAAATTCACTATTTATAGCACATATCTGTAGTAAACTTCATATAATAATATAGGTACACAATTATGTTTGTATCACTAAGCAAAAAAGCTTTTTTAGCTTCTCATAAAAGGCACATTTTTGGTATCCACTCTCTTTTATGAAAATAAATGTAAAAATAAATACTTTCAGGCATACAATCAAAACAAACATGATGAAAAAACATTATTAGATAATGATTGCCTCTCTTGTCCTTTTCCACAATGCAGCAAAAATTTGGTCATGGTGAATAATTTTACTGTTTCATCAAAACCTGAAAGGAGAAGTTAATTTTATTTTCTTTAGCCTTAGGTTACTCAAAATGACTGTCATATCACACACTTAGTTTAATTCCAAAGCTTTCAAAACATTGCTGCCTGCACTACTATTGAGTTCATACACGTACAAAATCTCATTAGAAATGCTTTTCTATTAGAAAGTAAATTTAGCAATGTAACTGACCATAAGAATCCAGACTTTTGGGGGTTTACTCTCAGATACGTGTTTAAATATATCTTACTGTTCACCAGGAGTGAATACACTGCTGTGTCAAGTACCCGTGATATACATACAAGAGGTACAGTGCAATACTGAAAACAGTACACTGTCATTGCTTACTATGAATGGATAATCTCAACAATTCCACATGTATAAGAAACAAATATACTCCATTACTGGTATAAAAATACTACAGAATCATAGAATCATAGAACTGTTTGGGTTAGAAGGGACCTTTTAAGGTCACGTAGTCCAACCTCCCTGCAGTGAGCAGGAATATCTTCCACTAGATCAGGTTGCTCAGAGCCCTGTCCAACCCCCTCAGCCTTTCTTTATAGCAGAGGGGTTCCATCCCTCTCATAATTTTTGTGGTCTCCTCTGGACCTGCTCCAACAGGTCCATGTCTTTCTTGCACTGAGGACTCCAGAGCTGTACACAGTGTTCCAGGTGGGATCTCACCAGAGTAGAGTAGAAGGGCATAATCACCTCCCTTGACCTGATGGCCACACTTCTTGTGATGCAGCCCAGGATATGGTTGGCTTTCTGGCTGGCTCATGTCCAGTTTTTAATCCATCAGTACCCTCACGGGGACTGTGTCAAAGGCCTTACAGAAGTCCAGACAGATGACATTCTTTCCTTGTCCACTGATGTAGACACTCCATCTTAGAAGGTCCACTAGGTTGGTCAGGCAGGACCTGCCCTTGGAGAAGCCATGCTGGTTGTCTCAAATCACATCCCTGTCCTCTATGTGCCTTAGAATAGCTTCTAGAAGGATCAGTTCCATGATATTCCCAAGCACAGAAGTGAGGCTGACAGGGCAGTAGCTCCCAGGATCCTACTTTCTACCCTTTTTAAAAATGAATGCAACGTTTCTGTTTTTTCACTCCCCAGGGACTTCACCTGAATGCCACGACTTTTCAAATATCTTGGAGAGTGGCTTGGCAACAAAGTCAGCCAGTTCCCTCGGGACTATGGGCAACATCTCATCAAGTCCCATGGACCTGAGTATATTCAGGCTCACAAACTTGTTCTTTTACAGTGGGAGGGGATTTTGCTCTCCCAGTCCCTGCCCTGCAATTCACCCACTCAAGAGGTGTGGGAAGTGAGCTTGCCAGAGAAGATTGAAGCAAAAAAGACATTGACCACCTCAGCCTTCTCCTCATTTGTTACCAGTTCACCAGTCTTGCTCATTGCAGGGGTACACTTTTGTAGTAAGATAAGGTCTGGCGGCCGGAACACCAGTCTTGCTTATTGCAGGGGTACACTTTCCTTGCCCTTCCTTTTCTGGCTGACATACTTGAAGAAGCCCTTTCCTATAACTCTTTGCATCCCTTGACAAGTTCAGCTCCAGCTGTGCCTTGGCCTTCCTGACCCTATCCCTACACAACCGGGCAGTATCCCCATACTTTTCCCAGGATACCTGTCCCTGCTTCCACTGGCTGTGCATTTCCTTCTTGCCTTTTATTTTACCAGTAGGTCTTCACTCAGATGTTCTGGTCTCATTGCTTTCTTGCCTGATTTCTTATACTTTGGGTTGGAGAGCTCTTGTGTTTTATGGAAAGTGTCCTTCAAGATCTGTCAGCTCTGTTCTGCTCCCTTGTCCCTGTGGGCAGTTTCCCAGGGGGAGTTATTGACTAACTCCTTGAAGAGCTGGAAGTTTGCTTTCCTAAAATTCAATGTCCTGACCATATCCCTTGGGACTGTGAACTCCACCAGGAGCCCTGGCTGCCTCCAATCCTGATGCCAACAATCCGTTTGCTTGCATTGGTGAACATCAGGTCTAATATTGCATCCCTTCTGGTAGGGCTGTCTATCACCTGTCTTAAGAGGTTATCCATCCTTCATGCACTCCAGGAGACTCCAGGATTCCCTACAGTTTGCTGTGCTACTTTTCCAGCAGATGTCAGAGTGGTTGACATCCCCCAGCAAGACAAGAGCCTGTGAGTGCAATGTCTTCTGTAGCTGGAGTAAGAAGGCTTCTTCAATAGGCTCTCCTTGATTTGGTCACCTGTAGTAGACACTAACCATAAGGTTCCCTTCTTTGCCTTGGTCTCTAATTCTTACCCATAAGCTTTCAACCTGTTTGTGGCTGTTCTTCACAGATAGCTCTTCACACTCTATCCATTTCTTGATATAGAGGACAACACCTCCTCCCCTCCTTCCTTGTCTGTCCCTTCTGAACAGCCTGTAGCTACTGATAGCTGCACTCCAGTCATGGGATTCGTCCTACCAAGTTTCAGTAATGGTAAGCAGGTCATATCTTTCTAGCAGCATGATGGCTTTCAACTCCTCCTGTTTTTGCCCATGCTGCATGCATTGGTGTAGAGACACCCATTGGGCTGTTGGCCGTGTCACCTTCTTAGAGGAACACCCCTTAATTCTTCTGGGGTATTTCACTGGTGTTTTCCTGTCAGCTACTATTACCTCAGGAGTACCTGGCTCATCTCCATAAGACTTCAAGTGTGCTGCAGTGTACCCAGCACATCTCAGAACAGCTGAGGGCCCTCCCTAGCACCCCATCCCTTTAACCTTGGTGTGCCATCCCACTGCTTGTCACAGGCAAGCCTGATATTATCCCCCTTTCTCTTCAAGTCTGGTTTAAAGCTCTGTCTGTCAACGAGCCTCACAAGCTCCTGAGCAAAGACCCTTTTCCCTCTTTGAGAAAGGTGAACCCCATCTGATGCCAACAAGCCTGGTGCTGTGTAGGCCATCACATTATTGAAAAACCCAAAACTGTGGCAGTGACACCAGCAAGGGAGCCATGTATCAATAGATTATGTATAAGCATACTCTAATATTTGCATGAGATGAGATGCAAAGGAAACCACTGAAAAAGCTACAGGTTATTCACTATAGATGAGACAGGTAGAATAATCTCATGTGTATGGCATATGTTAAGAAATACGCAAATTTCTTCATTTAATGTATATACCATTAATTAACAACTTACTTATGAAATAATTACTATGGATACAAAAAGCTACTGTTGGTCATTCTATTTGCATGTACTGTGAAAGTTTTCATTTTCTTTTCCCAGAAATTGGCTGTGAATTAAAATACAGTAACCAGAGGGAAATTTCAGGCAAGAAAAACAATAAAATGAAATACATTAAAAATAACACTTCTGCAAATAGAGACTTTTTGCAAAAGGAAAGGTGAAAATATAATATTCACAGTTTGTACTAATGCTTTGAGAAAGGAAATTTTTTTTCTGTAACCAGAAAGTTCTGCTGGAAGTGAAAAAGTTGATTTAGACTAGTGAAGGTTTCATGCTAGGCTTCCACATAATTTTGTTGAAGAATAAAATAAAATTCTCCTACATATCTGAGTAAGTTAGTATTCTTGTATTCCTGTTCCAAAGATAACTATAGAAGGAACCATCAACATGAAAGTAGAAAGGATAAGTTGGATAATCGTAAAGCCTTCTGAAAAAAGGGAGAATTCAGAAATTGTATTCAACAGCACCTTAAATGAACATCAAAGGTCTCAGTAGATAAACTTTAGAGGAAGTATATGTGCTGCCAATGTAAAGCATAATATCTGCATCTTGCATTTCTTTGGAAGGTAACAAGCCATCTCTACAGTAAATGTCACATGAAACAAACCACAGCTCCTTGAATTCCTTTATATTTTAGAGAGAGACATGAAACCATGAATTCAAGTTCTACCAGCCCGAATTCACTGCATTTCAGTATTTGACAGGTCAACTAGTTAACAAATTAAAGTCAGATGCCATTTGAACTACAAGAGAGGTTAAGCACCAGGTTTAAAATGGATGTCTTTTCACTTTCATATTTACCTTTAGGTCCTTTGAACAACTTGATCTCTACCACGGTCTCCAGAATAGGTCGCCTTCGACGAACATACAATCGCACTATGGAGCCAGCCTCTTTTAGGGCCTCCACGGCTTTGCTGTGTGAGACTTCTGACACGTCAACCTCATTCACTCGCAAGATGCAATCGTTGACCCTGCAAGAAAAACAAAGAACCATTGATACTAAATGCTTCAACTGTTATTTTGGACCAAACAAGGTTTTGTCAGTAGTGCTGTAAAATGGAGAACACTTAATCGGGAAAGATGACAGACTTAATGCAATATGCTTCATCAGCAATGAGACATTAACAGAAGACTTAGTACCTCCAGAAGACATACCTAATTCAAACTAAAGTCTACCTAATCACCTACATCTACCAGTCTCCTTCATAAATTGGGGTGGGATCCACTAGAGTGATAGAAATGAGTAATAAACAACTTATTTTACAGACTTCAGTAAAACACTTTTTACTAAACAATACAATCGAGTCACAACATTCATGCTGCATGCTATTGCTACTACAGTTGCTCTTAAGGAAATCAGTTCATTTAATTTAACACAGAGAGACCAATAATTGTTCAAATATCTCATTAAATCTCTCATATTTCTTCATCAAGACAAAGAATTCTAAGTTGTAAGAGTAAAAATGCTGTCCTACAAAAAGCAGACAATTTAAAAGAGGATGTTTTATGCTAAATAACTTGAGTAAATGTCATTCTTTACATTTGCACCACAAACTGTAGGCTCCAAGATCTTCTGTGTGGTAATAGCATCTATTTTTCATAGAATACTAACAAAATTCCCTTATAATCTTACTTTGGGCTCCCTCCCAGGCAGTGTTCACGGTCAGGTTGAATGAGGCTTTGATCATCCTGGTCTAGTGGAAGGTGCTCTTGCTCACAGCAGGAGGGTTGGAGCTAGATGATCTTTTAAGGTCCATTCCTATAGCACTCTATGATTCCATGATTTACTACATTATCTGAGGATGAACTAATATATTCACCCTCAAAATGTCCTGGTTAGATGGAATAGTCTTCTCCATATCTGATAGATTTGTCCAAGTTGGAAAGGAAATCTACACCTTAAGATCACTAAAACCCATCTCCAAAGTAACAGGCTAATGACTTAACTACTGGGTCATCCTTTCTTTGCAAATGAGGGTAAGTGAGAAGGGCAAATTCCAAAGAACTAGATTAATTGAGAATCTATTGTTCTTATGTGAAGTACATTTATTATGAGATGCCTCTAAGTATTTTGGGTACAGAAGAAAAGGGCATATGTAAATGAATGTGATGTTTTGCATGTCTGAAAGGACAATCAGTGAAGAATATTTAGGTTACCAAAAATATTCCTATATCCGCTATGTTTCTGTACCCAAAGATCAACCATTGAATGTTACTTGTTACAGCAAAAGAACAATTGAGCTGAGTATTGCTCAGGAGTCTTAGCACATGGAGGGAGAATGAAGCTTTACCAAAAGTTTATCTGAACTCTGAGAATGTACGGTGGATTTTTGTTATGCTCTTGTACTGCCATTTTTGTTTAAAAACAAAACAAAACAAAACATCAAAAAACCTGCAACTATTTGAAACCAAAGACGGGTGGATTTTTGTTATGCTCTTGTACTGCCGTTTTTGTCTAAAAACAAAACAAAACAACAAAAAACCTGCAACTATTTGAAACCAAAGACCTGTGTTATCAGCCGTTTGGAAGAACATTTACAGAGGAAAATGTTGATAGCAGCCTTTATCTCACCGAGACAAACTTGGAAAGGACAAAAAATTGATACTTCCCTTCTGATAAAAAGTGCTGTATTGAAATGTTTCCAGTTTTCACTCAATGGTCAGGTTTGCTGCTTTCCTTCAATGCCAGAAGTATTAATTTTCCAAATGTCTAATTCTATGATTTGGCTGTCAAATTAATAAGTCCTCAAATATAAGTTGCTTTATTTTTTAAAATAAATCATGAATACATCTTGCTAGTGTTTCCCTCTCAAAGACAGTAATTATGTCAAAAGTGCTATTATTTCTATTAATATAACTATATAGCTGATTCTTTTCAAATTTATGACTATCACGGTTGTCATATCTGAAATAAAATTGGCTATACCATGCTTAATGAACAAACTATAAGATCCATAACCATAACATTGGATGGTTATGAAGATGAAAAGGTAGGAAAAGATTATAAAAACAGTAAAAAGGAGGATTACCTTTTTTTTTTCCATATACTCTGTGCCCTGCGTTGATAAATATTGATGTTACTAGATAACCCTATCTACGTAAAACCTCTCGTAAAGGTTCTAGGCTATAGGCCCTTGTTAAGGGAAAAAGAATGTCTTTTGGAAAAAGTCAATAAAAACCATGGAATTAACTTGCCAAAATCAGTAAGCCACACATCTCCATTTACTGAAAAGTCAAGTCCCTGTAGAAAGGGACATTTACACACCAAGAGAAATCTCACTTTAGTGTCTAAAATTTGGCCTTTTAGAATTATCTACTTGAAAACTGTTATCTTTAATAAAACATACACAGATTAATACTGCTAGTGTAGGATGAATATAAGAGTGAAATAATACAAATCTGATCTAGTGATAGAAATACTTTCATCTAAACTGTTTCGCTTGGATACAAATACAAACTTTGTCAGTGCAGAAGTAGCAGGACAACAATTATCCTATTGTTATGATGTTATTGCTATGATGAACACATCCAATGCTAGATAATGAGCTACACTCTCCCAAACCTGTAGGGTTTTTTCTCCCTCACAAAGAAAAAGGTGAATATTTTAGTTTTTTAAAATAAAATAAATACAATATTATCTAAATTATTATCTAAGTTATTATCTAAAGACTGAAGTCTGTCAGTGGGCTTGGGATACTTTTCCTCTTCTATTTAAACTTTTACAGTACAGTTCCTACTCCAGAAGAACTCTGCTCTTTTAGTGACCTATAAAGGTTGCAGCAGTATAAACCTAAAATAATAAGAGCCAAAAAAGTCAGTAAATCCACTCTAAGAAAATCCTTTCAGATGACCAATTGTACGGTCTGACCACTTAGGGGCAAAACTATTTTGCCCTTGAAAACAGCTCTCCAATGTATTTTTCCAGCTTTGGAGAGATATTCATGTGACAACTATTCATATGGCAAAAGTGTATTTCAGTCAATACATGGATTCTTTTCCCTATTTATCTCAAAATCTTCCTAAGACTGTAGGTGAGGGTATGCTATATGTAGAAGTTAGTTTCAGGCACAGTTTCGAACCTGTGCCAAGGAGAAGATCTCACTCATAATCCAAGATAGTAATACACAAGTCCAGCAAAGAGATCCCTATAGTTTCACCAATACCTACAGTAATTCAACGCAAAAAAATCCAGGCAGGAAAAATTTGTTATAAGAAGACTTTCCTAGTTGCCACAAGATACCACAAATATATCTTTTTTAATATTAAAATATTTTTCTAACAGTTTCAGCACTTTTAAATTATGATCATTCTACTAGTGAACATTAACACCATATATTGCTTTGAGTAAAGTCTCTTCAGAGAGTTATTTATTGTAAAACTTTCTAATGAATTGTAAAAAGTTCTAATGACAGAGAAAGCAGAAAAGGAAGTTGTATTCTAAGCTATGGCTAATGACAATTAAGAAACTTGAGGAAATTCTATTTTCTCTAATTCTGTACAGAAACAACTCAAATATTATTCTTAAGATGTAGAACTTCAATTGTTTAGATTTAACAATAACATCTCAGCATTTGCTGATGATACAGATTCATAGAGTTCTTGACTGAATTTACTTTTGCTTCAATGAAAAGCAACATGTGATTAGAAGTATTTTGGAGACTGCATGTGCTGTGCTAAGAAAAAAAAAAGGAAGAAAGAAAATATTTTCTAATCATATTTTAAAAGAACATAAGCCTAAAAGCAATGTTCACACTATTGTTTCCTGGGATAAAGAGGGACTTAATATCTCAGTTCAGCAAAGTATATAAATATCTGATTAATTTTTGAGATATAAGTAATCCTATTTCTATTTTAGAGAAAATATTAAAATGGGGAGTTGGCATTAGGCTTATACTCAAATTTATTCAAGTCTGTAGAAGGTAACCCTTGCAGGTAACGGCTGAATTAAAATGAGTTAGGCAGCTCTTCCCACGTCACACTGTCTCATCTAAATTCTTTAACAAAATGGATATATTCTACAAGACTTTTGTAGAAAAATTCAGATATGAAGGACTTTGGATCGTAAAATGTAGAACACATGCTACAACCATGCCAAGGCAGTTACAACTGGTAAAAGAAATATGAGAAGAGATTTTGCCTTAAGGGGGAAGGTCAGGGACACAGATGGTTGCCAATAGTTGTTGCTATCTTCAAAGCAAGTAAGAGGTTGGATTAATTAAGGAAAAGTACTATTCTTTAAGGGCTTATTCCAACTTTGTTCTAAACCTGAATACCTTCATCTGAGTTTTATGTTTACTGTTTTCAAGAAACTGTGCAGACTTCCTTTAAAAGCTGATAATTGCTTCAGTCAGGTTGTAAGTCAACAGGATGAGTACAATCCTTACACTTATTAGAAATATAGTAGGCAACAACTGTTAATGATCATCCTGTTCACTTGCTCTGTGCAATATGGTGCCCTGAAGAGAAACCTGAAGCAGTGTAGTACATCAGCAAAGAGCCCCAGAAAACCAAATGGTCCTGCCAAGACACATTAGCCCACTTGCAGCTCCACAAAGGAGCTAGTTGTAACCAACTATGGACTCAAGAACAAGGGAATGATCTGTGCTCCATGGGACAATGTTATGACACTGAAAGCTGCGGTAATCTTAGTCTTAGTTATCATCCAGATACCTCCAGGCTAATTGGCAGTCTATTAATGGGACAGCCCTGCTTCTCACAAATACAGTTACCATTCTTTCTATTGCAAAATAGACAACCTTAATAGATTACTTCTAAGCAAATTATATTTTTAGCTGCCTTCTCAGAAAAGCTTAAATTGATATGGATTTTATTTATTCTTTAGATGAAGCTTAGAAATCAAAGTTAAAATACTGTTATTAAGTGGGAATCAGTGCAAAGCTATGGAATATATCAGGTATATATATGTATCTTCATATATTAGTATGGAGGTATTGGGTAGACAACAAAAGAG